CCCCATCCTGGCGTTACAATTTTTAGGGTGAAAAGAGCTATAACCGGTATCCAACTGTCTCCCCTAGCCGAGGAAATCGCCATCAGTTGGCCGCGGATCACCGCCTTCGCCGAATCGCACCGGAGGAGGGGGTTGGTGTCCGGTAAGTCGCCGATCGGGGTGCCGGTTGGTGTCGGTGACGACTAGGAGCATGTTTTGGAAGTCCTAAAAACCATGGGGTGATGGGTGCAGGAGACGGGAAAGCAGCCGGATACGGCCGCCGCGACGCCGGGAGGGATGCGGGCAGCCAACCGATTGGTTTTCGACGGCGGGGCCGGATCCTCACCCCCTTTTTTCCCTGTAGATGATGGGTTGTTGAGTGAGAACGAAGAGGAAGACCCACCATCGGGCGAGCTGGAGAAGGTGGATGCCGAGGGGACGCCGGCGGGGAAGCCCAAAGGGACCAGCCCCACCGGTGGAGAGGGGACAAAGCCCGGTGACGGTCCCCAAAAACCGGAGAACCAGCCCAGAAAGCCATCGGGCAAGCGACAGGGTAAATCGGGCCACCGAGGCTTCAAGAAATTCCCCCCGCGGAGCTTGCTCGGCCACGGCCGCTGCCACGACTGCGGCAAAGCTTTGGCTTTCGGTTCAGCCTTCAACAAACGCCGGCGAGGGACCGAACGACCCCACAAATGCCCCGAATGCGGGAAATGTTTTCGGCTCAGCTCAACCCTCATCACCCATCAACGCCGGCACGCCGGCGACAAACCCTACAAGTGCCCCGACTGCGGCAAAACCTTCAGCGTTGGCTCAGCGTTCATCCAGCATCAACGGGTGCATGCCGGCACTGGTGCCGGCGCGGCGCCTTGCCAATGCGGCGTCTGCGGGAAGAGTTTCTCGGCCAGTGCCAGTTTGGTGAAGCACCAAAAATTACACCTGGAGGAAAAACCCTACAAATGTGGGGATTGCGGGAAGGGTTTCAACTGGAATTCGCATCTGGAGCGGCATCGCCGGATCCACACCGGCGAAAAGCCCTATGCCTGTCCCGAATGCGGTAAGAGCTTCAGCTGGAGCTCCCACCTCGACCGGCATCGCCGTACCCACGCCGTCGCCGGCGAACCCACTTGCCGTTGCGCCGACTGCGGTCACTGCCCGGCTCCTCGTGGCGCCGAAGGCTCCAAAACCGCCGAGAAGCCCTTGCAGTGCAGTGAATGCGGGAAGGGCTTCACCAAGAGCGCGGCGTTGACCAAGCACCGGCGCGCCCACGCCGGCGAGAAGCCCTACAAGTGCGGGGAGTGCGGGAAGGGTTTCGGCTTGAACACCGCGTTGCTGCAGCATCAACGGAGCCACGCTGCCGGCAAACCCTACCAATGCGGTGATTGCGGTAAGAGCTTTGCCTGGAGCTCCCATCTTGACCGGCATCGGCGTATCCATATGGGTGAGAAACCCTACCGCTGCGGGGATTGCGGGAAGAGCTTCTCCCAGAGTTCCCACTTGGAGAGGCACCAACGCGTCCACGCCGGCGCCGAGCAGCCCTGCCAATGCACCGATTGCGGTAAGAGCTTCTTGGCCTCCAACAAGCGCCGGCGGCTGTTGGCCGGCACCGCTGAACGACCCTGTAAGTGCACCGATTGTGGGAAGAGCTTTCTTTGGGGTGCCCGTGCCCGACCGACACCGGAGAGGACCCATAAGTGCAGCGAGTGTGGGAAGAGCTTCACTTACCGGGCGGAGAACGTCAAGCACCAGGGGACGCAGACGGGGGAGAAACCCTACACCTGCCCCGAATGTGGCAAGAGCTTCGGGCAAAATTCGGCGTTGGTGAAGCATCGCCGGATGCATACGGGAGAAAAGCCCTACAAGTGCGGCGACTGCGGGAAGAGCTTCAGCGTCCGCTCCAACCTCATCAAGCATCAACGGACCCACCTTGGCGAGAAGCCCTACAAGTGTCCCGACTGCGGGAAGGGTTTCATCCAGAAGTCGGACCTCACCAAGCACCGCCGGATGCACACCGGGGAGAAACCCTACAAGTGCAACGTCTGCGGTAAATGCTTCAGCGTCTCCTCCAACCTCATCAAGCACCAACGCATCCACCTCGGCGAGAAGCCCTACCAGTGCTCCGAGTGCGGCAAGAGCTTCATCCAACGCTCCGAGCTCACCATCCACCAACGTGTCCACACCGGCGAGAAGCCCTACAAGTGTCCCGAGTGCGGCAAGTGCTTCAGCCGTAGCTCCCACCTCAACCGCCACCAACGCACCCACGCCGGGGA